GTCAGCCGGTTTTAAAAAGAGCAAATTGGCAGTAAATAATAGATGCTATTTTGGCACATTTCAAATTTGCAGCAGTGGAAATCAACAGATCAAGAGAACACAAACAGCCCCCCCCCCCCCCCCCCCCAACTCTGGCCCCCCATTACTGACAACTCCACCCCGGCGATGGGGGTTCACAGTGTGCATGTGCATGTGTTGAGAGAGAGAGAGGAAGGCTTATCGACAGGCTTCAGTTGCTAATGCAGCCAGCAGCATCATAGTGTAAATCTACACCATCTCTAAAATTACATACTGTCTAATCCATCCCACCCTCCTTCCATCCCTCCATCCCTCCCTCCATCAGGCCAAGTACCCAGTGTGACCACAAACCTATACGCCATTCATTTCTGAACAGCGGTATGAAAGAATGACTGAAATGTAAACAAAAGTAAGAAACAACAAGAAAAGAAGTGGTGAAGAAAGGATGTTTGCCGAGCCACATGCAGACAAGTCAACCACTTAAGGCAACCTTCATCTCGCTGTAATTACATTACATTGTGACAAACATCCCGCCACATTCATTATACATGACGGGCGCCCGGCAACCAGACAGCAAGACATTTGTTACCGTGGTGACAGTGTGTGTAATCCGCTAATGAAGCGCAATTAGTGAGAAACAATCCAACACAGGGGAGACGCGGCGCTCGATCCCTCCTCCTCCTCCTCCTCTCTTTTCCCGTCGCTTTTTTCTCCCCCCCCTTTTTTATAACCACGTCTTTTTTTTTCTTCCCCCCATGTCTTTTATTTTTGTGATCCAACCTTTATTAAGCTCTTCACTTGCATTTAATCCGCCACTCTGTCATCTGTAGTCTTGACTTTACCAAGGGCAAGCTGTCCAGCACTGTCTGCACCAGGGCCGAAGGGATCACTCTATCCATTAGATGCACACAGCTGGCGCACACACACACACACACACACACACACACTCCATTTTACATCCTCATCTCTCTTTTCAAAACATCATATAATCTGCTGAGGTCTTCAGGGACAGAGCTTTCCTCTTCTCCTTATCTCCCTCCCTCCCTCCGCTCTCTGTGCCTTCAACGCAGAGGCAGCATCGATTTCTGAATTACACCACAATATTAAATAATTAATATACTTGCCATGATTGATGTTTTGCATTAGGCCAATATTAGGTTATCAATCAAAATCCACTTGGTTTAATGTAATAATATTGAAAATGTGTCAGTGCCTGTTCATCCAATTTGTAGTGGAGGCAAGCCAGATAGTAATGGTGGTGTAGCACAAGGCCTCAGAGACACTGTGGCCGGCTTACTACAACCATAGGAGCACATTATAGCGCTGGCACACCGCGGGGGAGGGAGGGAAGGGAGTGATGGAGGGGGAGACGAAGAAGTGAAGACAGACGGGAATGAAGCAGATAGACAGACAGTGATCCGTGATACACTGCGACAGTCACGTCGTTTATTTGCCCTCAATCAAGAAACTGAACTTGTGGCACATTCAAAATTTTACTTGCGCTGCATTCACTTCAGGCGGCGGTACGCGGCGAACCGGATATTGTATTAGTGGACGAGCAATCTCGAAACCCGCCGGCTATCGGTCTCACAACGGATCAGCCTTTGGGGGCAAAGAACTATATTTCTGGTGTAGCCACGACTTCTTTTCCGTGCACTGCTCATTGCTCACAGTCTGGACAAGTAGCCAGTTTACAAGCTGATTTTTAACCATTAAAAATCTAATTTATCACGAGACGCTAGCCAATGGGTTCAGAGATTGCATTTCGGCCGATGCGTTTGCACACATGGACTGTTTACCTGCATTCAAATAAAGAATGCTCGAGCGTGATTGGTCAATACTACCGGCAATACAGACGGAAACCAGAACGCTTCCGATGCTAAAATCTGGCCACGCTGCCTACAGATTCTGCATATGAATGCAGAGTCGGATTATGAAGATTTGTGGACGAAAGCAGTTTAAATATTTTCACTTTTTGCCGCCCTCTGCGACAGACTTACAACCGGATGTTCTGTAGCTCCCTCACACCGGAGAAAGTTGTTTACGTTTACAATAGAATATTAAGAGAAAGCTGCATTTTATAGCAAAATGCATCAACAGAATGATTATATAAAATAGTAGACACAAAATACTTTTGTTTCATACATTCGATTCCATCGCCATATAGCAACATCTTGTCTCGCGCATTTCGTTTTGCTGTTCCGCCATTCCGTCTGTTTGTTTTGGAAATTTTTTGACGCGCCGTTTTGCAATATAGACATTTGCCAGTCATCCCTTTCGGATACATTGCATCATTGCGTTTCTGGGAACTTGCAGTATTTGGTGCACAGAGTACCTCTCTTTTACCATCAACATAGCTACAAGACAGAAAGAGAAAGACAAAGAATGGCCGGGGGGAGAGTGAGGGGTCAGAGAATGAGAGAGAGAGTAATGTACTGTTGTTCCAGGAAATGGTAATCAGTTATCTGAGGTCAATTAAGTAAAACAAGACAAACAAGTGTGAGTGTTAAACTGAGCCCTGGCAAGGTCAATATAACCAATTTAACATGGTCACTGGATCCATCACAGTGTGCACTTTTCTGTTTCCTCATTCCAGCTTGTTTTCTCCTTCTCTTAATCTTATTTAATCCACTTCTTTAGATTCGCATATTTCTTCGTCTCACCTGCGTATTCTTCTGGCCTCTATAGAAGTCACATATAAGTACTATAAGTACATGTTTTGTTTCACTGTGTCATTAAAGAGGGTTTTTCAGCTGTTGCCTCATCTTCCCTCATGTCCTTCTCCATCTCTCGTCATCTCATTAACCCCCCCTCCCAAACCCCTAGTAGAAGACAATTAATTACAGCGCTGGTATCAGAAGAGTTGTCATTTGTGGTCAAGTTTCTAATAATTGCATTAGGGGTCTTCAGGTTTTTCTAAAGATGCCCTCCACTTCTTCCCCCACCCCCCCTCTCTCTCTCTCTTTCTCTCCTTACTTGACCCCTCCTCCTCTCCCGCTCCACCCCTTGACACGGCGAAGATAAATATCTTCAGTCAGTCAATGGCGGCGACAGAGGGACTTAAAATGCAGAGGCAGTCATTTGATTCCCGGCTAACAGAGCTGTCCATTAGCGCAGCACTCATCAGCCATGCATTACCTCTCGGGCCTGCTGTCCTGAGTGTGGAAGCTTTAACCCTTTCACTGTCCACTAGCCAGCTGTATCACTGCATAACAGGCACACTTCACCGGCTCTCTTCCACCGGCCCTATTAACACCATATTTTCTCCCCTATTTTTTTCTGGAATCCAGTACTGTATAAATGTCCTCTAGTTTAAGGATAAAAACAACTAAATTAATTAAAAAGTCAATGGTTGTTTGTGTCACGGTAATGGCTCCGACATACTCTATATATAATGTATGGGGAGTTAATAGTCTCAAACACTAGTGAACCAGAAAGTCTTACGCTGACCTTAAAGCACACCTCGCCCATAGGCTGGACATTGACTTACCAAAACTGCAAAAAGAAAGTTGCTCACCTGTCAATATGACAGTCAATATAGCAAGACTTCTTTTAAGCTGACAAGTTTGAGAAAATGCTTTTCTTTCCTCATTAACAGCTGCTAATTTTTATTTGACTTGAAACAAACAATATTCAGTGTCGGGAATGTTTGTCATTACTGCTTCAAATGTATGACACAATCCATTAAACAGATCATCAAAGTAGCTAAAGTTGAATTACTTGTTGGTTGGTTTAATCTTAAAATAGATCACATGAATGCAAATGTGCTAACTGAAACCATTGTCATTTAAAAGAGCTGTGAAATTGTCTTTAAATTTGAATAAGCAGGGGTCCAGATTTAAGCTGTGTTGGACCACATAGAACCTTTTTGGGGGGAAAGATTACAAACTTCTGACCACGTTGTAAGCACCACTCTGTTTCTGTTCTTTTTTAGTGTACCTATCTCTTTTTTGTTCCACACCTTAGCTGCAGAAATAACATGTTGGCCTCCAGCAGCCTCTCAGCCCTCAGCCTGATATCAGTCAGAGATAGTGAGCA